GATGGCTCCAGTTTTATTTCTCCTTAAATTCTGAGAAAGTCTCAGAGTGTGCCTCTTAATCTGCCTGGGCCCCACCCCTGAGCTGAGCTGTGGGTAATTAATTTATTGTGTTGGTTTAAATCCTGTTCTAAAGCAGGAAGGACTTTTCCAGAATCCTCTGCTTTTACAGTAATTGGGAACTGCTGGTCTTCTCCTTCATTAGTTGTTCTTTGGCTTTCTCCCCTATTCCCTCATGTGGTGAACGGAGCTTTCCTGGCCCTAGAGTGTCTTAGGTGGCCCTGGTGTGTGTGTCTGGATTCTTAGTAGGAAACTCTTGGACCTGAGGGGTCTGAAAGTCAGGAGTAACAGTGAGAAATCCTCTTGCCTCCAGGACGGGTTTCTCTTGTCACCTGCTTCTGTCCACGCTGCCTGATTCAACTGCTGATCATTTATGAAACCCTCTCCCAGAAGGTTGCTGCTTATTTTTAATCTTAGATATTATCAGCTTAATGTGATAGTTGATGGTTAAAATATCGTCAGTCAGTGTAGCATGGGTATTATGCAGTCGAACAGGGTGAAAACCTGAACTTCTTTTCTCTTGGTTAAATGTAAATATTTTTCTCTTGTCACTGGTGCTTTTTTATTTAACTGAAGTAGAGTCAGTTTCTGGCATACAGCAGCATGTCGCAGTCGTGCATATCCATACATAGGTTCATTTTCATATTCTTTTTCATTAAAGGTATTACAAGATATTGAATGTAGTTCCCTGTGCTGTACAGAAGAAATTTGCTTTTTATCTTTTTATATGTAGTGGTTTTCATTTGCACATCAAACTGCCAAATTTATCTCTTCCCCCGGGTGACTATAAGATTATTTACTGTGTCTGCAAGTTGGCACTAGTTCTTTTTCAGGGAGCAGGGTGGGGCGTGGTGATTATGTTTATTTATTTAATTATTATCATTATCTTTAGAGGAGGTACTGGGGATTGAACCCAGGACTTCAAGCATGCCAAGCACACCTCTGCCACCTGAGCTATATCCTGCCCCCGGCACTGGTTCTGAAAGTACCTTCCTTAGCATCACTGGTACTCTACGAGAATAAAATAGTACAGATTTTTTTAAAAAGTAAATAGAATGAGAAAATTATTTTTTTCTCATAGATTTTTCTTTAATCAGTGTTAGAAGAAACTAAGAAGCAAATGACAATGGGGAGGGTATAGCTCAAGTGGTAGAATGCATGCTTGGCATGCATGAGGTCCTGGGTTCAATCCCCAGTACCTCCTCCAAGAATAAATAAATAAACCTAATTACCTCCCCCCACCAAAAAAAAAAAAAAAGCAAAGACAGCTGTTACCGGGAAGAAGCAGGTAGCAGCCGGTCATTCATGCCTCCTTTCTCTTCTCTCTGGCCCTTGTAATGTCATGAAACATCAGCATTTTGTGGTTCCACAAAGAATCAGTATAGCTGTGACGCTTGTACAAATTTGAAAGTCACTGTTCTTGGTAAAAATTGGTTCTTTGAATTAGAAAATGGAGTTTATATGTTAAAAAATAAGCAGGGCTACAAAGATAAGTTCAATATTTATTTACATAAAGATTGTTTTGAATACATGAAAGTTCCCCTCACCCTACGGAGGACTGTCTTGTTAACACAAGTAACATTTCTATTCTGTGACCTCACAGGAGCCCAGGCTTGCGTGCTTGTCTTTTCCACCACAGACAGGGACTCTTTCGAAGCAATCTCCAGCTGGAGAGAGAAGGTGGTGGCTGAAGTTGGAGACATCCCAACCGTCCTTGTGCAAAACAAGATTGACCTCCTGGATGACTCTTGTATAAAGAAGTAAGTAAGGGGTCTGCTCTTGAGGGGGCAGTGGTAGTTCTGCATAGTTAAAACCTGTTTTAATTTTTGCATAGACTTAACAAAATTTAGGAACGTTTCTGAAAAGACTGCCTTATACTTTAAAGTTCTGTGAGCTAGTCTCTGATTGATTTGGGTTAAAAAAAAGTTCATACTGAACCATAACTAAGGAGAATTAAAGGAATCATTTTGAAGGCCCTGTGAGAATTCCAGCCTTAGTTCCCTGCAGCACAAATCAGGTCTTCACGTGAGGTCAAATCTAGACAGGGTGAATGTTAAGAAAAACGTCCTTAGATCTTCTGATATCTAGGATAAGTATGTTGATGAGTTTAAACTGGTAAGCAGCTTGGATTCATATTGTTTTGTATGTTCAGAACAATTATGCTCAAATTTGTGAACAGAGTTTAGCGTCCAGATAATTTCTGTCTATAAGTATTTGCTTATTGCATTATTAACATTTTGCTGGCTTTGAAGATCTTGGCTTGGTTTTTACCTTATTTTTTTTTTAACATGTTCTTGTATTAGCCATCTATTGCTGCATAACAAATCAGCCGAAAACCTAGTGGGTTAAAATAGCACATTTATTATTTCCCAGTTTTTGTGGGTCAGGAATTGGGGAGGGCTTGGCTGATGGTTCTGGTTGAGTTTTTCCCGAGGTTGCTGTCAAGACGTTGCTGGGCTGGAGGGTCCGTGCGGGGAGGGCTCCCTCACGTGGCAGTGGGCAGGAGGCCTCAGCTCCCAGCCTCGCGGGCCTCCCCATCACAGCATGCGATCCAGGAGAGGCCACGGCCAAGGCCAAGGCAGAAACCACTCTGTCTCTTATGACGGAGTCTCAGAAGTCACACCCACCACTTCCGAGTGTGCTCATCACACAGACCAGTGTGGGTCCAGGGTGGTTGGGGGGGGTGTGGTAGGATTTGGGGGACCATTTCAGGGAAGCAGGAGTCACGATGAAAGTAAAATTAGGAGTCCACGCTTGTAGACACACCAGTGTACTGACTTCTGCAACAAAGTAGTTTCACAGCCAGTAAGAGTAAAGTAAGTAAATGCAGTAAGACTTCCAGAGCAGGGTTAAATTCAAGTGTTTCTAAAAGCAGAAGAGAGAAAATTAAAGTATTAAATAAAGAAAAATGATACTTAACCGTTTTAAGGCTGGAGTTTAGTGAGTTTATAGAAAAGTGTCTTTACAGTTACAGTGTGGTGGCTGGTGTTTGTCCCCCAGAGTAGTGAAAACCGGAAATCCCGTTCAAGCCCCAAGAACGTAGCTTTCGACTGGTCTGGCAGGTCTGACCCCCGCCCCAAGCTGTATT